TGAAATAACCAATTGACCAAACTTTCAATGATTCTAATTTCACACTCCCAAATCGAAATCTTTTAGATTTTAAACTTAAATGCACCACCTCTTGCAATGAGTGTTTACAAAGTCACAAAGACTTGTCAACAACCATTACAAGGTATTCCAATGAAGACCTACTCCATGGACAGAAAGCCTTATTTTCAAAGTATGCATTGCTTTGAACATGCTTCTTGCACTAAGTTCTTTCTAATCTTACACAAATTGCTTCTATCTAGAGACAACTCTATTTCCCATTTTGACTACTACTTCTGAAAAAAGTTGCCTCTTTTTAGTCTATGTCAATATGGCCCTTCCAAAATTCACACTATACTTCCAACTGTCCTTGAGCAACCAATATTTGGTAAACCTTAGATTGTCCTCGACAATTGCTTAATCACTTTAGTCATATCCAATTCTATACATTTTCCTCCTTGATGCCCCAAGGCATTTAGAAAATTCATAAAGAATAAATATTATAGCACATGTAATCGATCTTGTACCCAAAGTAAATGGGACACAATTCATGATGTTTCACATAAATACATGGTTCTAGACCAGTCTTATGCCATAATAATTTTTTTATTTGCCATATTCTCAAAATTTTACTATGAAAAGGGATGTCGTAATCATAATCGAATTTTGAGAACGCAATATATAGAATTTTCTTAAGTTGAACCAATCGAACATGAAATTCATATATATATATATATATATATATATATATATATTCTTGACTAATGGTGATTAAAATCTTAATATAAGCTCTTTAGAATGATTATAAACTCAATCTAAGCATTTCATAATTGAAATGAAGTATAATTTCCTCTCCCTTAAATATAGCAAAACAACATTTTCAACCCTTGTAACCTCACGAATTGAAACTTTTGTTTTCTATAATTAATATTGCTAACTTGCAATACTTATCATAATTATCATTCTCCCACTAACATGATGATTATTAGCATAACACTTATACTCCCACTATCTTTGACATGTACTCAAAACTCAGCCATTGACTTTTTTACCAAAGTTCGGATTTCTGATACTAGATTGCTTTGATAAGACTCTATCAAAATCATACACCTTATCTTAGATAGCTCAAAGGTGTGTCTAAACAATTTCAAAACTATGAAAAGGGATTCCGTAATCATAGTCTTAATTGTTTAGACCTTTGCTATTTCTCATAAGTTCATGTTAGTGTGCCTATTAACAACTTTGAGAATGCACAGATTACTATCTACTTACAAATCTACTTAGTGGAAGTGTTTCCTCACCATCATTTTTCATGAATTGGAGAGAAACCTTATGACACTTAGATTTTTATGGTGTATGAGTTCCTACCCATATGAATTTGTCAAAACCTTAGTTACAAGACATGGATAATGACAAATCCAAACACATATGGATTGAACTTGTGCAATCTTAAGTTCTTTCCATTTGGCAGCACAAGGGCCTGTCATTGCTTCCAAGTAGCTGTGCAACCAATTGAGGACTCTAAGAACTAATATGCAAAGCCAACTTTAAATGGAATGGCCACAGAAATGTCAACACAATAGGTTATACACCTCAAGTCGTGTGCTAGTGAAGAACCTCATGTTTTATTCTTGATTAGTTATTGAGACTTTCAAGACCTTTAAGACTCCCACTGTCCTCTGGACATATAAGACTCTCTTGTCAAATATTCAAGGGATAGTGAAAATTATTTATCAAGACAAACACTTCACTCAATTGGCCTAAGTTGGTCTCTGTTGTATCCAAAACATCACAATTTACCAACTTCAAATGTACAAAAGTAGGACACTTTTACTCTTACATTTGACACGTGTTTCTAAACCTTTCTTTAAGATATGTCACTCAAGTTACATTCTTAGAGTATAACTCTAAGGATTGTTTTGGAACGAAGTATGAATCATCTTCTTGATTTAACCACTTCAACAATTCATAACTCCTCTTCTTAACAATCAGAATGCACTTAGAGGATGAATTGCGATAAGGTCTCAAAATCATTTAGATGACCTTAAAACATGATACTAAAGTACTCTCCCATCTTTTTAGATTTGAGAAACTTTTATCCTTCTGCTTAATTTGATTCTTCTTATTCGTTCTGTCATACATTGAAAATTTTCCAATGTTTCAGAATTATACTTAAGCTTATAAGTATAACCATATTTACTAAACCTTAGTAAATCATGATGAATAGTCTTATCCATCTTTTGTGGTGGACTTTGAAAAGTGCACATGAATGTGTACTCGATCCTTTAGTCCTTTATTTGAATCACACATCCATGTGAACAAGTAATTAGTCTTAATTTTCCAATGCTTGAAAGTTCTCATTCATCATACTATACAACATGCATGATTCCAAGTTTCGGTTCAATTGAAACTTGGGTGATGAGAATCTTTCCTTATTTGGTAAATTTAGACATTACCACAAATGAAAGAATCAACTTCATATTTCCAGTCTTGCTATTAATGGAATTTCATAAGTAACAATAATTTCCACAGATAACATTGTAAGGATATTTTGAAATAAATAAAATCAGAAATTTTCCTTTTATTTTAAAAACTTTGCGGAAAAACTAATCCTTACAATCCATATGAAAACTTGTTGTTATCTATTCCTAAGCAATATCTCATAACTCCTAAGAAGTAGCTCAACAATCCGATCTTCAAACTATGCGATAGAAATCCATCTACGCGATCAGATTCAGCATATTCTTTCTTTAAGTTTCTTTACTTTTCTTTGATTCTTAAAACACCAAGACCTGAACCAGTCAAATCATGTAATAAGAATCTCCAAATAGGAACTTAATAGAGTTAGACAACGGACTTTACCTAAAATAAAGTCAAACTCATTGACTTTACCATCCTTAGGTAAGTTTGGCAGCTTCGTAACCAAAGCCTCTTCCTTTGGAAATAGAAACATATGGACCCTTAGGTAATAGTACATGAGACTATCTCATACTTAGCCTTTCTCTTTACCATTTTGTCAACCAAGTTGACTATGGCCAATCCCTTTTCATTGGGAATAGAATGCATTTCTAGATTTCCCGTGTCACTATTTTCAATGTCCATAAAGTTTTGGGAAGTTGATCTCCTAATCACATTTGCTTTACTAGCCTTCCAAATCATTGTTGATTCAGCAGTACAAAGCAAATAGATAAGATCATTAAGGGTATTTTCATAGTATGGTTCATAGGAGTCCTAAAGGAACTCACTATGTGACTTAGAAAGTGATTGAACCACCAACTTTCTCAAGACTTTGACACCCAACTCTCTCGGCTTGTTAATATGTGACTTCATCTCCAAGATGTGATCACACCTAGACCTTGTCTTGCCAATAGGGCTTGAGTGACCTTAAACTTTTCAATAAGTTGTGGGTTAGGGAGAATAATTGGAGGAGGTGAAAGAAGTAAAGTTCCAAGAGATTTGGGAAGATCATAGATGTCTGAACTAGACATATTTTGGGAGATATTCAAGTTTAGTTGATTAAAAGTCCTTAATATAACACCCAATATGAAATATTAAGGCTAGGACCCTACAAAATATTTTATAACTCGGAAGAGGGATGCCGTAATCCAAGCTATAAGATATTTGAAGGTAGGTGAATGACGATTCACCAATTTCCACCATGGAAAAACGAAATAATTTATTAAGTTTTAATTGGATTTGAAACTCGTAGATCTTTTGAGATTCATTGAACTTTTCAATGGCATGTTCCAATCTCGAATGTGCCCTTCAGGTTTTGTGACTGGGGTGCCGAGGATCACAAAACAAGGTGTGAAATAACCATGCAAATTACTTGGTACTCTTAAATGTTTATCACCCAACCGATGTGTCAGTAAACCACACACACTCCACCGGCTTATGATTAAACTTTAAGAAAACCCTTTGCCTACCTTGTTAAATCAAGCCAGTGTTCCGGTAAACCACACACGCTCCACGAACCGACTTAAGCAAAGTGCAAAGTGTAATTTCATGGGTTAGCACCTTATTCACATTTTCCTAAGTAACTAAGATTAGGAATTATAAGTGTTTAGTTACTTACTACTTATCATTAATACTTTTAATGAAGGGAGAACTTATAGTCTTTGTCCTACCCATTCGGCTAACGACCCTCCACCAGTCAAGGAGGCGGTGGGTGAGAGTGGACACCCATTAAACTGCCATTTTATATGCAGTAACCTTATACCCCCCTTATAGACCGGCTTCGTGAATGAGGCCTACTAACGGTAAGACTGACTTTACTCTTATACAAATATATACTTATTATTAACTTATAATATTATAAAGTATAAGGGTTGAATTTTAACTTTTAAAATTCTAACGGCTTACTTGGAATTAAAGTATTCATAAGTGAAACTTTCACTACTAGAAAAACAGCCTTTTACGACGCGCAATATGTGTCGTAAAACGCTCAGACGACGCGCAAATGCGTGTCAAGAAAGGCCATGTCATAACGAGAGACGGCACGCTTTTGCGCGTCGTCTGTAGACGACGCGCATTTACGACACGAATTTAGGACACGCATTTACGACGCACATTTACGACGTGCAATGCGTATCAAGGAAGCCCCTGTCATAAAGGAAGACGACACGCATTTGCGTGTCGTAACCTTACGACGCGCATTTATGACTCGCATTGCATATCATTAAAGCCCCTGTCAAGAAAGGGTATGTTATAAATGAAGATGACACATACTTTTGCGTATCGTAATTTTAAATGTTTAAAAAAAATATTATTTATAGATTTACTAATTTTCAAATTAAATTTGCATTTAGTGTCTGATAATAGAAAATAAAATATCATATACAAAACATACAATACATTGCATAAAATTTAATGTCAAACAAATAATCGTTCAATGAAAAAATAAAACAAATCAATAGTAGTTGTAATAGAATTTTACAAACTAATTATATACAATAAATATGAAAAACTTGAAATCCCTAAGATTAATAGTTCTAACAGAAGCTTCACGTGAGATACATACAGTTGGACCAGTAAGCAAGGATCTTCCCGAATCCACAATGGCATCCAAAGAACACGTACACAATATCTTCTGCTACTGTTGAAGGTTGCCATGATAACTGTTAAGATTTAAGCATAACAAAGAAACCAATCAGTGACTACAAGAAGTTAGATAGTGACAAATTCAATTTCTCAAAATTATCACAATGATAAATAAAAAAAGGAACCAAAGGTCTCCCTATCTCAACATCCTTTGAAGCTAAAATTCATATGTGGGAACCATTAATCACGATAGAAGCCATAGAAGAAGTTAGATAGAGACAAATCCAACTTCTCAAAATTATCACCAAACCCCATATAGGACTTCGTCTTAATAATCTCATCTTAAGGAATTATAGCCCTTCTCAAAGTCAACCTTAAAAAACAAATTCTTATGATGACACTCCTTGGCTCAACCTGTAATCATCCAGTTTAGCATTTGGAACATCCCTAATTACAACAGTAAAAAATGTACCTTACTAGAGCAGCAGCCAGACTTTCGACATTTGGAGCATCTAAATTGGCGGTTAGTTCATCAAGTGCAAGTATTCCACAACGAAGCAAGCACCTGAGATCAATTGAAAATGGATTTTTCGAAATTCCTTCAATCCAAAATACAAAGGGAATGGGCAATTAGAGATGATGGCACACCTGTTGACCTGCACTGCACCTTCCTCGCATTTCAAGCTCAGCATCACCAGCTTGCATAACAACCTGAACTTACATTTAACCATAAAAATTAGGGTTGGGTTAAAATGTAAGATATAGGAACATAATTTCATTTAATTTTATGTTTAAAAAGTTTACCAATTTACCTCGTACCTATAAGACCTACTAGCACCACATTCAACATTTGAACGGATAGTAATGTAATCAATATCCTAACCTCTGTATGTTTTCTGCCATAGTTCTCTTAAAAGGGGCTGAACATGGAAGCTAACATCAACATGGGGTTCTGGACAAAGTCGTTTTCTTGGAGGTGTTGTAGCAACCTTAGCAAGTGTTATCATGTTCATTGATGAAGGGCTTACTGGTAATTTTGGCTGCCGTAGGAGGGAGTGTAAGAGTTTAAGAGGAGGCAAACAACAATAACCATATAAGTTACAAAATCTATAACAACAAATATGGATAGAGAGAGAGAGAGAGATACCAGGGTATGCCAAATTCTATCTCTACTGATCTCATCACCTATGAGGTCTATTCGACAATCTTTATATGTTTTAATCCATTTCATATGTCCTAATTTTGCTTCATCAAGTTCTGCTACCGACACCAATTTGAAAAGGCCTTGAACTTCAGACAATTTGCTACAACCTTGATACATAAATTTCCTCAATCTAAAGCGATGTGATTCGAATGTTATCACCTTCAATGAAAAGCACCAATATATATACAACTCTTCTAGCGTACTTGGGAGACTAAGGAGGGATTTAATATTTGGACAAAAAGTTAATTCGAGTACCCGAAGCGTTTTAAGATTAATGTTACTGGGAAGTTTTTTAAGCATATTATTGCCTAAATTTATGTAAAATAATGGTTGGCCACTAAAAACCAATGGAACATCATTGTTGTTCCCAAGGTCGCAGTTGTTGAGAAACAAAAACTTTAAGGAGTCTGATAAGGAAAACGAGGACTGTTTTGGAATTCCTCCACCAATACATAAAGTTTTAGCCTTTTAAGTAGATTTATGTTACTCCTGTTCGATGAAACCTTCCATAGATTCTTACACCCAGTAAAGTCCAATAGAACAAGACTCTCAAGGCCTCCAATGGTTTCACAAACGTGAGTCAGACTGCTACAGTTCCAGTGAATCAAAGTCTCAAGATTGGGAAGCCATGAAAGTTTGTTGATACTAACAAGTTTGCAAGACTCTTTGAGATTCAGAATCTTCAACGAATTAAGAACCTATTCCAAGAATAAAAAGATTAATTTATCATTGTTCATTCACATAAGAACCAATATATAGGTAATAAATCTTAAAGCAGGACCATATATATATATATATATATATATATATATATATATATATATATATATATATATATATATATATATATATATATATATATATATATATATATGGTTAGGTTCATGTGAGACGGCCTAATTTTGTGAGACCATGAGACACATGTTTTTATTTTTTTTTTATTTTTTTATTTTTTTTTAGTTAATTCAACTTCCGAAAATAATATTTAAAATTTTTTTTTTTTCCATTTATTTTGCATTTTAAAATTATTTTTAGAGTATGCACAGTCTAATATTCTATTTAGAATATTTCACGTATTTTTCAAAAAAAAATACATTTTTTTTTTATTTTTTTATTTTTTTTATTTTTTTAGTTAATTCAAGTTCCGAAAATAATATTTAAAAAAAGACTTTTTAGATTTTTCCATTTATTTTGGATTTTAAAATTATTTTTTACAATATGTCAGTGTAATATTCTATTTAGAATATTTCATGTATTTTTCAAAAAGAAAACAGGATTTTTTTTATTTTTTTTTAGTTAATTCAATTTCCGAAAATAATATTTAAATAAAGAATTTTTGGATTTTTCCATTTATTTTGCATTTTAAAATTATTTTTAGATTTGGTCTCACGGTCTCACAAAATTAGAATGGTCTCAAATGAACCTGAACCTATATATATATATATATATATATATATATATATATATATATATATATATGAGGGGGAAAGAGTGATGAAGCTTCAATTAAAAACGGGGCATGCTGCATGAGTTTGAAGGTAAACAATGTAAGCAAAACATAAACAGGTTAAAGGACACTTGGGTCAACATTCACATAGAAACTGTCGAAAAATGAGAGGATATAAAGTCAATAGCAACATTGAATTCCTACCATTGGATGTTCAAACGTTTTCAAGTTTCGATAAGTCATATCTATAGCTACCAAGGTGCTCATCAATAAGCCGGAGGGTATTTTAGAAAAATAACATCCATGCCAACACAACCATCTTAATTCTGGAAAATTCTTGTACAACCCCGTGAGTTTCACATATTTGAGCTGGAGCAATTTTAGTTTATCCATCTTTGCAAACGAATCTGTTTTACAGATTAATGGCTGCAAAATTAGCATCAAGTGGAAGGATTAATTAGTATCCCTCATATCTGACATCAAATGCTTTGAAAATTAAAGGTAAAATTTGTTTAATTTTTTTTCCATTTTTTTTTTTGCATATGTAGCCCTTTTCTTAAACATAACTGAATTATTTTTCATTACCAATGTTAAGAAGCAAAAGATAATTGAATAAATATTTTTCTTAAAGAGTATTTTTGAATTAGGAAAACTTATAGTAAGACTTTGATCTTACACATAAGACTTTTAATGCTTCTTCTCTATCTAGTATCGGGATCCGTAGAACAGAAGTTTAATCATCTTTTAAGCTGATAGAGAAATGCAACAAACTGGAAGAATCCATATGTGATATGACAGATATTTGAATTTACTTCTGTTACTCCAAACAACAATATCCCATGTGATTTGTACTCTTTTATTGCGGTTTTAATTTGGCTGAATTAACCGTGACATAATCACAACATCTGATGCTATTCTGTGATTCTGTCAGTTACACATAGTACAAAATTTGGGCTCACCAATACTTCTTCTTATGAGTGAATCTCACCTTCAAGAGAGAAAGAGCATCTGCAAATGTTTTCTCAGAATCATCTGAGAACTCCATGTAAATTGGGCAAACTCCTTGATACAAAGCCAATTTCTGTTGTACCCTTTTACTATTTTTAGACACACATTATCCAAATTCAGTAACAAAATCTATAATTAATCCACCTTGAAATGCTTGATTAAGACTAGAAAGTGTGCCCCCACTCATTAAGCTTGATTCGGTTCTTAACAACACTGTGAGCATCACATTAACTACTTTTAGAGGAAACTTACAATTTGACAAAATAAATAAATAAATAAGAATATAAGTCCTAATACATTAAGGCAGGTTTTAGCTTAACCCATTAAGTCAATAAAGAAAGACGGCTTACTTTCCATGAGTAGTTTCTCCAGAAAGCATGACTGCATCAGCACCCTCTCTAACAGCAATAACAATGTCTGAGACCTCAACTCTTGTTGGTGTGGGATGAACAATCATGCTTTCAAGCATATTTGTTGCAAAAATTATAGCTTTTCCCATGCTACGACATGTCCTGATTATCTCTTCCTATAATTTCATTCAACTTAATTAATTAATCCACTGTTTTTTACTATCTATCCTAAAACCCTTTCTTCCCAACTCTTGTTGGGCGATCAAATGAAAATAATATTAGCTAATCATGTTCTTGATAAAGAAAATGTCTTCAATACTCTATGATCTTATTAGAATATCATAAGTATTAGTAAATTTTGGTAGCTATCCACTTGCATGTGTTTGTTAAACAGCAAATCTAGAGAGGTGAAACTCAACAGTATATCTTACTACTTACTAGCTAGCTTAGCTTAGAGGAGGTGTTCTTATCCCAAACATTTCTGATACCAAAATTTATTATCATATACATATATGGTAGCTTGTTCATCAAGATAGACGGTTGAGCAACTAAGTGTTCTGAAATCTGGAAATTTAAAAAGCAAACAACGAGTGTACTCATTCATATTCACACAACATTATCTTACAAATCAAACACGTGAATGGATGTTCAAAGCATGGCTATCAACCCATTTGAAATCGACTTGGGGGCAATTGTCAATTTCACATGGCCCTCCTTCACATCCACTGCAGGAGAGCAGTTAAAGAACCCATGTGGCTGCAAAACCAAAACATTTATATATTTTTTTTTGTTTTTTGTAAATAAAATAAACATACATAACCAATTAAAAAAACATTCATACCTGAAGCATATACCCAATCCGTACCACTGGGATCACATACCAATCTTCCAACCTAGGACATGAGTTATCCCAAATACATACCTGCAAATTTTCATATAAGAAAATATTGTACGAAAAGCATGCACAAACTGATTAAAAAAACAAGGAAATATACTTAGTCACCAGAGAACATTGTCTGTTTCTTCAAGAGATCGATTTTGCTGGACCCATGAAGCCAGACCTTCACCAACACACAAGTTTTGGTTGGGAAATTCTCCTCCAGGGAAATCCTCACCACAAGTATACGGTGAGATCCATAAATTATGTTTTAAAAAGGCAGCCCTTCTTACGAACTTGGCTTCTGAACCTGCTAAAGGCAAGTAGTTTACCGGATGTAAAAAGTCTTCAGCAAGTACTTCTCAGTATCAGGAAACCATGGAAAAACGTTTTTTTTATATTTGTTTATTTAATTTTTCTTCCAATACGTTTTTCAAACGTGAAGGAATATGCTTTTGATACGTTTATTTAAAAGACATTAACAATTCTTATTTGATTCTAGAATTGTTTAATTTAAGTCGGACATTTCATCGAATGGCTAGAATGCATAAATTTTCTTTATGAATAGATGAGAATCAGAGCATGGAAAATGAAATTAAACTAAATCGATGATAGGATTGTATAAAGTAATGTAACAGATCTATTCTTACCTTGGAATCGATGCCTATCCAGAGAAAGGTTAGAAGGCTAGTGAACAATGTTAAAGAATCTCAACAGATGTCGAACCCTAGAATGCTAAAGAACATGTTAAGCTCTAGAATGGTCACGAATGGTTGAAGAAATATGATGTAGGAGGTAAGATGTTGAGATATGGATTAAGCTTGTAGAACCCTAGATGGAATCACCGACTCTTAGCGACTCTTCTGGAAGTGAAAACTATGGCAGCCGCACCTCACACACAATGTGTGTGCGTGTGTGTCTTTTTCCTCCTCTTTTACATTCTATGTGTCTTTGTTCCTAACTCGCAAAGAAATGGTGAAAGATCACAAAATCTTCTGAAAGTGAAATTTGTGTCTTTTTTGTCCTTCGATCGTGAGAGAGAAAAATGGAGAGAAATTAAGATAGAATGGTTTGCAGATGATCGTGAGAGAGAAATGGAGAGAAATTCAAGTGGGTATTCAAAATTTTTGGGATTTCATTTCCCGCCGTATCTATTAAACGCGCCTTTCATTAAAAATATAAAGCGACATCTATGGAAGGCGCACATTTAAGATACAGCGCCCTCCGTGTTTTTAATTTTTTTTCTTTTGACACTGGTTTAAGGGCACCCAATAATGCGTGACCTAAATCCTTAAATTTTTTTAATAGATGAGACTTTTTTAATATCACTCTCTTTTGCGTAACATAAATCATCAAGTGTCGTAATTTGCGCGTCGTAAAAGGGTTTTTTTCTTGTAGTATTTTCAAATTCCAAAACTTGAGGGCAAATTTGGAAACTATTCAAAACTAATTAATTCCAAAACTTATTTGTTTAAAGTAGTTTTAATTAAAAACTCTTCAAGTTTCATAACTTGATGACAAGTTATGGAAGACTTTAAACTATTAAAGAATGTCACTTTTCTTTATTTTGTAACTTATGGAACTAATGTAACATCCCGAAATATCAAGAGTAGAGTTAAAGGGCTAAAAGAGTAAAAATTGGGAAAGAGTAACTCGGCGAGTAGAGTCGCGACTTGGTCGCGTGTTAAGTGGCCGACTCGGCGAGTCAGTGTAATGGACTCGGCGAGTAGGCGCTGAGTGCAGAAAACCCTAATTCTCGGGGTTGAGCCTTATATAAAGATCACTATGTTTTCCTCCCAGCCTCTTTATCACCCCTTGAGCCCCAGAAAACCCTAAATCACGGAGAACCACCATTGTTGAGTGAATTGGAGCTTGGAGAAGTAATGGTTGAAGGAATTTTGGGAAGATTGAAGGCTTGGAGCAAGGGGCTTTGCTTGGATTCGAATTGCATTGCAGTTGGGGCATCACTTAGAGGTAATATCTCATTATTGACCTGTTGTTATGTTGTTTCTTCATTTTGGGGTTTGTGAGAAATTGTCTATGGATGAAATGGGAAGTCTAGAGGTTAGATCTGAGGTTGCTACCTCGGATCTGGAAGGGAGAAGAATCAGAGAGCATGAAAGTCCCTGTGTTGGAGTGTTTAGTGAAGCTTACATGTCCTAAACCCTAGCCCAAATGTGCAAACGGCTTAGATATCTTTGGATTCACGTAAAGTTTGTCACTTTACGTGATGGATGAGTGGTAGGAGACTACATCTATGTTTTGGATCAATTGCATGGCCTAAGATGCTTCTGTATGGATTCAGACCGGTGGTACTCGATGAGTCACATGGGGCGACTCGACGAGTTGCTTGAAGATGGCCTGGAACTCGACGAGTTGGAAGAACAACTCGGCGAGTAGGTTGAAGATAGCCTTGGACTCGACGAGTCCATTTGGACTCGGCGACTCTTGTCGAAGAGTCCCAGATATTCTCTGGTTGAGTCGAGAATCGGTGAGTCGAGGGATGACTCGGTGAGTCGTGTGCGAGTGGACTCAGAGTTGTTGGACTCGGCGAGTCTCGGGGTGACTCGGCGAGTTAGGTCGCAGATTGAGTGAAGTTCTGATTATGGGAACTCGACGAGTCACAGGGTTGACTTAGCGAGTAAGGTCAGTCAGGGGTTGACTTAGACTGAGGACTTTGATTTCGACCAAGGGTTGGTCGTTGACTTTTAGGGTTTGGTCAGCGATGTGGCCTTTGGGGCCAAGAGAGAGGTAAAATAGTCTTTTACCCATAAGAGGGTGTTATGAGAGGATTTATTCTAGTCTCGAGAGTTATATTCATGAGAGTATTTGCCTTACGTGTTAGGCGGTGGCGAGTTCGAGATTCAAGTGTGGGGATATCTGCTTTCTGCTTGCCAGGTGAGTCTTCTCACTATACTTTACCTTGAGTAGGTAACCAGAGTTATGTGATCAGAGTATTTGTATGCTATATGTACGTGATGTGTTGTACTACATTATTTCTATGTGATTTATGATGTGCATGTTTATAGAGTTGGAACCGGAAGGTTCCCAGAGTTAGAACATGAGGGTTCACAGAGTTTGGGTACACAGACCCATAGAGTTATAGCCTCGAGTGGCTAATATATGTTATGTGTGGTATTTTGGGGAACTCACTAAGCTTCGTGCTTACAATGTTTTGCGTGATATTTTTCAGGTTTCTTTCAGTATCACGGGACGGCACTGGCTTGATTGTACACACCAGAGAAAGAGTTATATTTTGGAGGATCCTGGTTTTCTGTGCAAGTGAAAATGGAGTCATGTTTTGTAAATCGACTATGAATGAGATTTTAAACAAGTGTTTCTAAGAATAAAATGATTATTTTAAATGAAAATTTTGTCTTGAAATTTACGGTGTTACAAGTTGGTATCAGAGCCTTGGTTTGAGGGATTCGGATGCGCCTTCGGGTAAATCTGGACTCAAACTGAGGAAGTAAGAAAAGTTTTAAGGAAATAATTTTCTAAAAATGAATAAAAGATCAAAGAGAAAGCAAGAAGGAGCAGTGTGTACAATCAGCCAGAGCCCGAACGGTGATTTCCCAAAATACCCTTATTTTTGTGTTATGAGATATGTATGATGCACTTTATGAGATATTATTGCATGCTAGAGATAGGCTAGGTATTTCATATGTTAGGACTAGAGTGGCCTGATTTGTGATGCCTTAGCCTAGGACTCGTTGTTATAGGTGTTATGCTTTTGAGTATGTGATGAGTGAGAGTATCCAGTTAGAACCCATGAAGGGTAGAGTTACAGAGTTCGGTGGTACTTTCGACGATGAGCCGAGAAGGTGGAGTTATCACAGAGAGGGAGTCCTATGTATTCTTCGATGCTCGAATGTTGCTTGCTTTGTGCTTTGTGGAACTCTCGATGATGGGAGTCAGCTACCAAGTGAATATGACGATATTCAGGAAGTAGATGGCTGGCATCATTAGGAGCTCTTCAGTAGCTGATAGCAAAGAAGTGGGAGGACAACGGAAGAGCCTAGGGAGTAACCCTATCCAGATGAGTGTGCTTGTAGAATAGAGAATTTCGCTGGGGAGCGAGCACGCGCGATGGGATTGGTGAAAGAGCAGGTCGAGCAGCTATTTAGAAGCTCTGGGATGGTCCGTGTGGAAAGTATGGGTAGATGTGGCAGGTAGTATGGGCCCGTACTACTGAAAGCAGAGGACCCATACTTGATACAGGGAGTATTCTGAAGGTTCTAAGGAGCAGATTGAGGAGTGATGTTATGGTTTGAGTACCATACATCGGAGCGGATTGAGGAGCGATGTTATGGTTCGGGTACCATACATCAGGGCAGATTGAGGAGTGATGTTATGGTTCAGGTACCATACATCAGAACAGATTGAGGAGTGGTATTATGGTTTGAGTACCATACATCGGAGCGGATCGAGGAGTGATGTTATGGTTCGGGTACCATACATCAGGGCAGATTGAGGAGCGATGTTATGGTTCGGGTACCATACATCAGGGCAGATTGAGGAGTGATGTTATGGTTCGGGTACCATACATCAGGGCAGATTGAGGAGTGATGTTATGGCTCGCGTACCATACATCAGAGCAGATTGAGGAGTGATGTTATGGTCCGGGTACCATACATCAGAGCGGATTGGGGAGTGATGTTATGGTTAGGGTACCATACACCGGGGCATATTGAGAAGAGATGTCATGGAATGAGTACCATGGTTCGTAGTGAATGATGTTTGTGGTTCTCCGGTTATTCGGTCACGAGTAAGTTCGAAGAGGCGTCCCTTGAGAGGGAGATCAAGAGCCCCTCAGAGTATTTTAGTAAGGAGTCAGTGAGAAGGGAGAATTTCGATCTGAGTTGGGCGATCAGTCGATAAAGGAAATGTCACCTCCTATGATCTGGGAGGTACTGATTATGCTCGTGTGAAAAATATGAGAAGCATGATGTTTTGGTTTTGGGTTTAGGGGTAAACCCTGCAGGTCGTCATTGATGATGATTTCCCACCAGAGTATCAGGTAGCATGTGTGCCGCGAGGCAGTGATCTATCATGAGCAGATAGTCAGTTGAGACTGGGATAGTCGAGGGCCACGCTATACCTAATTGAGTTTAGTCGGGTGTACGGTAGTGGTATCAGCGGGGAGTTCAGTCGAGTTCAGCGGTGCCGAGAGTTTTCTATCCATGGGGTGTTGAATTTGGGAGTGAGTTCCTGTTCTTGGGATGATCCCGGTGTTGGAGCGTTGGTTAATGAGTTGAGGTGAGGGGTACGATGATTTTATGGTTCAGTCTATGAGCCAGGGATGTTATCGAGTAGTTGAGTTGTTTGGTACTAAATTGGTACGAGATTTGGAACGACTAGAGGCAGACGTGACGAGAAGTACTTGAGGAGTTCACCAGAGGTTCAGAGTATATGAGGTCGATTCATTTCCTTAAGGAGGGATTATCGGGCGTTGTGTAGCACTTTCCGGGGGCCGGTGCGATTTTGCTGGAGAATATAGTTATGGGTTAGTTGCGTGCTATTTGGTGATGGTTCGAACCCTAAGTGGGGGAGAACCGGGTGTCGTATGTAAGAAAGCAGAGATTTGTCAAGAGCAGTTATAAGTGGAGTATAGAGATATGCGGTAAGAAATCATGAGACCAGAGATGTCGGTGATCGAGGAAAGGGGTCAGACTGAGTTAATGCGGGAAGTACTTGTTTGAGAAGGATGAATGTCTCCACGACAGGTGTTTATTAGTCAGGGATC